AGTTTTTTAAAGTGCTTTACTCAGACCTGTCACTGCACAGATGAGGGGGCTGTTCTTTCTTTGGATATACCTGAGGTATCTCAGAGAGGCCTCAAAGAAAAGCTTTACCCATTTTTGGTTCCTGGTAAGACTCAGCCACTGTAGATGAAAAACTTGACTGGGGAGGTAGGACTGAGTCACCCACAAAAATCGCTCTATACAAGTGGCATGTTCTAGTCCACGTTATTGCAAGGCAGGCTTTCTGCCCTACCCTTCCAAAACAAACATGAGGAAAGATTTTCTTTTTAGTTGAGTACTGCATTAAATGAAAGTTAATTCTTTCAAACAATATATGTAATCAATATTATATATTCAAACATGTATTATATATGCTAACAGAATAAATGAACACCTGTGAAACCACCATCCAACTTAACTAGGATATTTCAATATGTTTCATCTTCTCTGTCTTTCTCTATCCTGTCCCATGCCCATCCCAAAGGTAACTAGTAACCTAAGTTTTGTGTTATCTATTCCATTGCCTTTTTAATAATAGTTTTTTAAATAGGTACATATTTCTAAGCAACATATAATTTAGTTTTTATGTTTTGTTTTTGATTTTTTAAAGAAAGGTACAATATTATACGAGTATGTAGTTCTATGCCACTTACCACTTTCACTCAAATTTTTATTTTATTATTCATCTATATGTTTTTATGTAACTAATGAAATGAACAAACTATGTGTGCATTTGTGTGTAGCACAATTTATTTTTCTATCCTCCTGTGAATGGTTGCTATGAACATATTTGTTCCTATCTCTTGGACAGCAGATACATGAGGTGTGTATCCTAGGAGTGGAATTACTGAAATATTAATGTATGTAATATTCAGCTTTNAAATTCTTTCAGGCCTAGCAAATATGTAGCACTTGGGTTACCATGATCCCTGGCAGGCATGACTAATCAATTTGGCACACTGTCCTCCTGAACTCCAACCTGGACTCAGAATCCTTTATAGCAAGATGCTCCAGGGGGCCACTAATGATCTTTCAGAACTGGCATTTGAAATAAGTCTATCTGACATTCCTCTTAGATGTTTTGGTTGGGTGCTGGTAGGCAGTGAAGGTGAAGTAGTGGGGTGAGGTCGCTCACCAAGGAG